GACGTTAATTTTTGTAGCGATATAGAAATAGAAATTGATACCATAAAAAAATTATAGAGAAATAGATACCATAAAAAATTAATTCGTTTTCGTGTTCTTTTCATGTATTTAAAGCAACTTTTGTATGCTTTTACAATTTCTGAGGCCTTTTTTTAAGAAAAAAAAACAAGTCTCCACCTGATAGTTATATTATAGGTTAGGTTACCATAGCAAAGTTACATCTTCAAACATCCTCAAGAGCTATAACACATCTGCAGCAGAACTGGATATGAAGACAAAATTGCAGGACAATAACACTTTAATTGTCCACTAATCTTCAGATTTCCTACTATGTTTTAAAAAACTTTATTTGTGGAAACCTTTAGCGTGGCGGACAGCTGGCCGCCTTAGGCGGCTAGTAAAAAATAAAATGTGCAGGCCACGTAATCAGACCGTACCACGAAAGGAGTTTTCAACGCCAGACCAGTTGGCACACGAAAAAGAGGCTGGCCGAATTTGAAATCTATAGATGGCCTAGAAAAAGACCTTCTGTTTTTAAAAACTAAAAATTGGAAAACACTAGCAAAAAAAAACTTAGCTTGAAAAAAAACTTCTCGAGAAGGCCAAGGCCGACCCTGGGCTCTTGAGCCATAGATGGTGAATTTGATGATGATCTTAATAATTTAAAAAGTTTCAAGAAAGTTTCAAGTAGTTTTCGTACTTTTTAAAAGAAAACTCAAAATAAGTGGTTTCCATATATTTCATTTTGTACTTTTAAACAAGATTTATTAAAAGAATAGCATCAACATTGCTGGGGTCTATCCCCCACAAAAGTGCGTTTTCTTTCCTTATTAAATTACTTTTTGATGTATGTTTATTGTATAGGTGTATGCTTGGTGTATGTTTATTGTATTACAAAAAAAGTTTTTTTTTACAAAAATGTCCATATCTTCATAAATGTTTAAGCTACGATTACGAAATTTTGTGCGAATATTTGCATATAATAACCAAATTAACTGTTACGAGTTACAAATCTGTTGCTACATTCTTTCTCATCGGTTGTTCAAAAGCATTATTTTCCGTTTGTAATTTATTATTGGTCCCTTAAACCTTTGAAAGCTTTAAACGTCATTGATATATATGAGAAATCGTATAATCTAAGCATGCTTGAAGTTATAAAAAGATTCTTTAAGTATTTCTGGAAAAATATGAAAATATGTATTAGTATAGAAGTGTTTTCATTATTTTGTGCACCCCTGTAATTAACTAGTATAATCACAGATCTTTTCTTATTTTCTTATTTTGCAATTTCAGAAAGTTTTTTAATAATTTTAATTCCAAATAATTCTCTTGACATTATTAGAAAAATTCATTAGTTATCATTGTTTAGTTTTATTGATCAATTGTTTTGCAATGTTAACATTTTAACTACAAATTCCAGGCTAATCAGTGAGGATTCCCGAACAACAAATAGGATTTTTCTTACAATTATTGAATGAAAAGACAGTCAGTAAAACTTACTTTTGCACTCAAAGAGAGGTAAAAAAAAATATGGGTCGATATAAAATTTGAGTAGTTGTTGGAAAATGAGTATTTTTTTTCTTCAAATGTAAGACTTCAAACTGTAACATTTTAATAATAAAAATCGTATTCTATATTTGGCCTACCGGATCTTATTGGTGAACAGTCAACTATCACAATAGTTTTTACCTTTTGTTAACTGGAATACAAGTAGTTACATAATTACCATTCTTAATGTAATTCTCAGAATACGTGTCAAAATTTTAAGCCGAAAAGAACAAAAATTGAGTGTCATAGTTTAATATTCAAGCGAATAAAAAACAAAAACGCCATTGATTTCTGTCAAATCAATGGTGAGGAGGACCTGCTACTTATTGTTTGTGACACCTAATGTACTTCCTAGTAAGGATATATGAAATATAAGTCAGTCAGTATGAAAGACCTTATATATTTTTAAAAAATTCCAGATTTTGATTCGTGTTAAATCCTCTTTAACTTCTTCCCTTAATAATTTTTTTAAAAAAACAGCAAAAGTTTTTTTTTATAATTATTATTAACAAATACAAGGAACTAAACCGAAACACAATACAAAAGTTTCAAGTTGAAATTTTAATTTTTTTATGCGTAAAAAGTATTTAATTTACTATCAGTTTACTATTGCGAGTTATCGCGGGCAAAAGTTAAATATTAGTCTTTGTATAATAGTTATTGAAACAACATAAAGTAATACTTTATAAACGCCAGTGAAGTGATACGACATTCTCTCATTTCTCTATTAAATTCAGCAACCATTGTTTATAAAATGGTTCAAAACACGTTCTCACAATCCAATAGCAAACAAAACTTGACGAACCACAGCAGATTTTTTCTTTCCGGCCGAGTAAAAACGTGATCAAACCAAACGATTCTGCAAACGGAATATTTGCATTCTATGCATAGATCGGATAATCAGGAAAACGGTTAAAAATTCGTTAGGTTTTAACCCCCGTTATAAGATTAATTAACGATCTCTAACGGGTATATTTTTGTGCCAAAATTTTAATTTTCTGAAAAAATGGTGGAATTTTTCCACTACTACTACAGAAAATAAGTTTCTAAAACTCTCTCAGAATCAGCTATTAATTTCTAATAACTATTTTCAGGAAGATTTAACCTGTTTAGAAATTTCCATCAAGAAACAAAATTTGTTGAAAGAAAGAAACTTAAGATAGTTTGAATTAATACGTAATTTTAGAATTTAACAAATAAAAATAATAGGTACGTAGTTTTAAAAAATCCGAAATAAACTTACGAAAAACGAAATATATTTATGCATATTTTTAAAAGGATGTGCGACATACCTATTAATAGAGCAAACAGCAAAATACACGTAACACATTTTAGTACCACCATCATCCTGCAAACTCGTCATCCCCATTGCTTGAAGTCAATGCTGAAATACACTTTGTTCAATCATGAACACATGGCGGTATTCTCATGGGCAGCTGTTCTTGATAATTCAAAAAAAAAAAAATAAGATGTTTCAAATTTATAATTTTTATTTTATTTAAATTTACCTTAATCCCATATTATTGTGGAAGGATGTTGGGGTAAATGCTGATAATATTTTTCATTTTCAAAAATAAATTTCTGATAAAAAAAATCTACTGATAAATAAACTACATTTAATAATAAACTTATGATAAATAAACTTAAATGAATAAGCTCATAGACTACAGTTTGATACTAAGCATATATCCTTGAATATATGGCGGTGTCTATCCTTATCAGAATCCTTAAAAAATTAAACAATAAAAGATATGTAAGCAAGAAATGCTATTGATATGAAAGAAATATCTATTAAAAAAATACATCAAAGCCTGTTTAATTGCAGATTTAGACATGGTTTTTCGAATAATCCCATTTTAACTCAATTCCGTACTCACCCGTACAAACATGTTTTGGATGTTTTATAATTCCACCTATCGCAACAGTTATATTTTTAACTGGTTAAAATATTAATTTGCAACACTATAGTGTACATTTATAGCAAGGATTCTAAAAATACAGATTAAGGTTCAGTAATTTTCGGATGCTTACGCTCAATGAATAACAAAAGATTGTACGCGCCTGCATGTACAGTGCACAAAAAAAAAACCGACCAGCCTGAATAACTTTTGATCTAATGATCGGTTTTCCACGTTCTAGGACTTAATCCTTATGGCTCAAGGGGGATGACCTCAAATATGCTAATTATTAAGTGCAGGCGTTATTTTAAGTAACGAAATCAAACATAAAAACGAACTTTCTCTGAATAAGCATAGAATTTTTTCGATAGATTCACACTTCTCAAACCAAATGTGTAGGGGATAGCTGCAAAGTAGGGTCCTAATAATTTGTTCAGAAAATTCCTCCAAAGTTTGGACTCCTTCATTTCAATTTTACTTTTTGCGTGTTTCGCTATATCTCAAGAACTTTTTAAACGAATTGAAAATGTTTTACATACAATTATAAAATTCGCTTTTTTGGTGCGCTTTGTGAAAATAGCCAAAGGTAAAGAGATTAACGGATCATGAAAAGAAGAGATAGAAGCTATAGCGATAATAAAGATAGTCAGTGAGTTATTAAAATTGAAAGACAATAATGGTTAAAAAGGATGCTGAAAGAAGAAACTATGCCCTCGTGTGATGGAAGATGAGATTACAATATAAAACAGACACCTAACTTTGCCAAAAACTAGTTTCTTCTATGAAAACTAGAATATTAGAAGTAATTCGAAAAAACGACTCTTACACAAACTTCTCGTTTTTTTAATAATCACTTTCTCTTCTAACTCTCTTCATAACAAAAAGTAAAATGAGCATTGAGCTCGGAAACTTTTTAGCATATCAATGAAATATGGGTGAATATTTAAGTTTCAAATAAAGTAAGAAAAAAAAAGGTACTTGTCTAAATGACATTATTCAGCCAACTCTCTGAGTTAATATACGTCTTGCGAATATGTGGTTCACGATATACGTGATTTGGACATATTTATTAATCTAGTTAGATATTTCTTGTTTAATTTCATTTTATAGGTAATGTTAATTTTTAATATGATTACAGACGAATGAAATGCAGAATTTAAAGGTAAAAGATCAAAATAAAGCGTATTGAAGCTGATGTAATTCTGGCTCAAAAAAAGAAGGAAAGATCTGAAAGAAGGAAGAATACAGATTTTTCCATTATCTACGCGTCTACCTGAAGTATGCTATGTCCTGCTTTCACCTCGTATTCATAGAAAAATATTCTGAAAGATACTTGTTACGCGCCTTATTTGAAATAATTACATTTTTGGCTGCATCTCGGAAAATATTTTTTCATTAATGAAGATTGTCATTTGTAGTTAAACCAGTTATCTAATATCGAGCGATAATAATTATACATTTTGCTTCAAAATGCTTTTTATCAAATATGCTTCTTAAAACATGACTTTTTTACATGACTTAAAACATAAACCCAAATTTCCCAATATTTTTTGAGGAAAATTGAAATATATAATTTCAGATTTAATTACAAAAACGTCGTTTATGGCAGATTCTTTAATGATAAAATATTTTTTTACTTGTTTCATCAGATAAACTGAAGGAACAACATAAAAAACATTATAGCGCAAGATCCACGTCTAAAACCACGTGTCGTGTCTATTTTGTTTACAGTTTCGCTTTTGTAACATTTTTATGAGATTAAATATGTCAAAATCAACGGTTATTGAAATAAATAGCAAAAGTTACTTTTTCGAGAGTAAAATTAATGGAGAAATTTGTCTGGTAAATTTTGACTGAAATGAGTTTGCATGCCTTATCAAAGGCNATTTGAAAGGACATTATTTGAAAGGATGAACTTCTTCAAAATGTGTTTTGCTTAATCTAACATTAAGTCCTCGGAAAGAGCAACAAATAATAATAAATAAATAAATTTAATTGTTTTAACTTTATTAATTGCTTCGTTAGATGCTTGTGCATGCTGTTTTATATCGATTTATTGATTATTTACTTTTATATTTTCAACCCCTTGAGCTGAACTGGTATTCAGACAGTAAATAAATAAAAATTTTAAACTAGATAGTTTTTCTGGATAATGCTGATGTAACTACAATGTTGAGGTTGAGTTTTGATTCAAAAGGGGAATCAATGGAATATAAGCTGTAAATACAATTGTTACATCAATTAAAAATTGAGCTGTGGTGAGTCGTCATGAGTCGTGCGGTGATTCACTTAGGTTAAACACCTAAATTATTTATTAATACAGTGCATTTTCTGTGTGTATTTTATTTTTTACTAATTTTCTATTTAATTATACAATATAATAAGTTGCACTATGTAGGGGAGAGGGGGGCACTTGTGAACAGGGGGCACATGTGAACATGGTATGTTTTACCAATATGATTTGAAATAAAAAATCTTGAAAAATTTTCAATTGATGTCAGTACTAGTCCTACCTCTCTGCGAAACTTTCAGTACAATGAGACATTTTGTTGTTCTATTCTGACAATTTCTTTGTATCAGTTGGTGTTGTATATATTATAATCACTAGCTTCTTCAAGTGAAAGCATAGTATAAGTCAACTAATAAACTGAAATTAACTATTGCAGACCATTATATGAACATTCAGGTAAGTTTATGACAATTAATTTTTTTTTTTACTCAATTAAAAGTTCTTTATTTTTCAAGTTAGGTTTAAGAAGGATGATGGGGGCACTTGTGAACAAAACATCTGGGGCAGATGTGAACAGTTCACAAGTGCCCCTACATAGTATTAAGATTATTATCCTCATGATATTATAAGTTTAAAAAATATGTATGCATTTAAAATTATTATTATTTAATTTTCCATAATTAAATTATTATTTTTTTCTTTAAAAAAATTTTTTTTTATTAAATGGTTGATCGCGCATCACGCATATTAACTGATACACCTGAGAAAGATAGAATTGCTAAACTACAGATGAAAAGATAGAAAAATGAAAAAAAAGCATGAAAGAGTATCAGAGAGGAAAGAAAAAGGCCCATTACAACTCCTGAGGAACATGAAGTTGCGAAAAACCCAACAGTGAAAAAATTATTGTACAGCTGAAAAATTATTTTCTTATTGACAGTACTGTTGTACAGTTTAAATTCGCATAGTAAGCTACAACCCCTTCAGTATAATACGTATCTATATCTGTCATATTAAAGATTTTTTTCCCTTGAAATATGATGATTGCTTTGCGTTTTTAATCTTGTTCATATGTGTCCCCCTCTCCCCTACATTAGAAAGAGAGATAGAGAGGAAAAAAAAGTAAAAGTTATGGAAACTAAACAGAAATATTTTCTCAAAATCATGGACCCTGGCTTTTCAATTATTGGGGGATCCGGAAACCTTTGAATTATATATTAAATGTATACATACGTACATGTATTTTAGGTAAATACATTAAGTTTATACATAGACACATTTTTACGTATGTCGTTGTATGTAAATACGTATAAAATTTATCATTATATAATCTGTTTTGCATTATACACGCAATATACAATCGTATTTAGCTGTAATCGTACATTTTGATTACTTTTAATCTTGTTGCAAGTAATGGTTATTACGTGTATCATGATAACTTGCATTTAGATTACTCGTAATCACTGTTACAGTATTCAAAACTATGCGCAGTTGTAATCTTACAAGTAATAGGTTATTGTAATTCGTCAGTGTGATCACGATTACAGTTTCAATCAAAAGTATTTTAAGTTGTAATCATGATTACGAGTGATTAATTACTTTAATTAATATAATTTTTGAGCTCTGTTTAATTCCTTAATCATTAATATGAGCTCCCCTTAATCATTAGGATTCATCAATGTCCGTTAAAATCCAAATATTATATCCAAACATAATATTATAAAGCAATTCTTTTTATTTTGCGTAATTTATTAAATTTTTAAAGTTGTTTAACAATTATGCTTAAAATTAGTAGTAGTCTAATATTTAAAAGATTTAGTATTTAACTTGTAGATGACAATATATGCATATTAAAACATAAAACTTCACACTACTTTTTCTTAGCTGCGTTACGGTTTTTTAAAATCACTGCTTAACATTGCAAAAGCACAGTTATTTTCATAAACACGCATTTTGAGCCATTTTCGTAAACGCACATTTCATTTATCCATTGAATGCGCATTCTGTCCATTTTAGAAAAGCTCACCGACAAACACGTTATCCAAACTATTTATTTTCCGATCAGAAATCGTCAAAAAACAAGAAAGATTTTTAGAAACTCCGTAATTTTCAAAAAACTTCTTGATTCTGATACCCCAAACGAGATATCTCAAACATTTTATTAAAGCATAGAAGAGAAATTTTTAATTCAATTTATCACAACTAGGCATCATAATTTTTACAAAATTATTCGATTCTTTTATCAAATATGTAGACAAAGATTGTAGACAGTGGTCTCGAACCTGTATGCAATGCCGAAGACCAAAAATACTAAGTCACATCACAACCAAACCAGGAAAATTTCCTCAAAAAGATTTTATTTTATTTTATAACCATCGTTGAACAGCATATTTAAGTTTACCATTACTAATGTTTAACTCCGTCGCTTTGTAATTTTGAACCCAATTCAAAAGACAAGAGAACTCCAGGTTCAAGTATTAGGGAAATTTTGCCTTCCTATCTGATGGAACTAACCCGCATTTGAAGTTAATGCTGCTGTTGAATTTCACCCATAATGACATTTTTTTACACAAAAAAATAGACAATTGTAATCGAATTATTGCGATCACTGTAATCGAATTATTGCGATCAATCAGACTACAAAAATAATTGCTTCAGATGCAACAAATATGAAAAAAAAAGTTTCCTAAATCAAAAGGGAATATTAGGTTGCTAAAATATTATTAAACATTTTTGATTATTTTTACTAAAATACAATAATATTCTGCATACATTATGCACCACTATTTACTGTACTGTAAATCCTGTAGAGATTAAATTCCTCAATCAAGAAGATGAAGAAAAACTTACCTCAGCCATCAAAGACAAACTTCAATATCGTGACAAACAACAGAAATTCACTTCTCTAATAATTCCCATCACATTTTGATGGTTAAGACGTCATTACAGAGAAATAGCTCAACTAGTGTCAACAATTGCACCATTAACTAGATCAAATCTAATTCACATTTCTCTGAGACTTTCAGGTCATTTTTCTCACAGCAATATCAGGACAAATTTTATTATTTTTATTTTTCTCTTTCTTCCTCTATTTTGTTTTCCTTTTTATACTTCTTTCTTTATTTTTGTTATAACCTCATTTATTGTTTCATTAATTGTTTTTTCTTTTAAACAAATGTGATGCACTTCATTGTCTTCCGCAAAACTTTCAATGTTGTTTACTAAATTTTATTGTAAAATTTTTTTATATGCATTACGTAATATGCAATTTTTTATAATAAATTCCCACTGATCAGGCTGGCTCGCCGGGTTGTGGCGAGCTGGACTGGTAGCCAGATGTGGACTATAAGGGTAAGGGTTTTGCAAACCTAGGTACGTGTTCACGTCTGGAGGAAGAAAAAAAAAGTTTAATAAATATAAGAAAAAGATGGTGCCATAAGATGACTAATAACACTACTCTTGCATTGTAAATTTTCATTGATAATCCAAAACACAATATTTTGAAACAAAGAAAGAAAAATTTTCTTCAAATTCTAGGGATTTTTTTTTAAAAAAGAGAGTCGCTGAGTGGTTCAATTAAATTGCTGAGTGACTAAAGCATGCTAATTTTATTTTTCTATCACGAATACAGTAGTTAAGATTAGAAAACAAATGTTAAACATAGTAAATTGAATGCATAAAATTCATAATGTAACATTTATATTATGTTAAGGAAAAAAAGTATTAAAAAAAAGTTTTCACGATAAGACGAAAGACTTATCTATGAAACGTGGTAAAATTATTTGACTGTTTCACTGGCAGCATATTGATAAAGTACTAATAAAGACTCTCCATTCGTGAAGGAGAAATTACAGATGTTTTCTTATCACACTTTAAAAAGATTAAAATCGATACATATGATAAGCATATCATTTTTTTTTCAATAATACTTATCCCTATGAAACTAAGTTTTTTTAAAAACTGTGCAAATAAGACAAGTTTGGAAATTTAACATTTTAGATTTTTTGAAACTGTTTGGTTCTTTATGTAGAAATCGTGTTTTCTTTCATTTTTTGGAAAAATTTAATTGATTTGATGAAATAAAGAAAGGAAGGTGCTTAATCAAAATTTTATTAAAGACTGAAAAACAATTTATTCTCTGCAAATTTCCTTAATGAACTTCCAATGCCAATCTGTATCAAATATCCTAAAAACAAAAAAGTGCTTCGTTAAAATTATATCACAGAAATTAACATCACTTCTGTAATAAAAATAATAACATTGAAAACAACACTGCGTGCACATAGAAAACTGTAAAAACCAGTTGCTCAACAGATAGTACTGGCCGATTAATAAGAATGAGTATTTAATCAACCGATGACCCAGTTAATTTTCTAATTATGCCTTTCGTTAAACTGAAAACGAGATAATGGTTTCTCGACGCTTAAAATAACTAAATTATTTTTCGACATCGAAGAAAATCAAGTTAATACATTCAAACATCAATTAGAAAACATTAGATGGAAACTTCCTGAAATATTATTGAAATTAAAGATATTGACACAATATTATTTTTCGATTTCTAAAGAAACAATCAGGGGTAAAGAAAATGAAATGAACAAAATTTAAAAAACACGAGTTAACTGTTGATTCCGAATTTCAATGGAATTAATCGGTAGAATAGATAAGTAATGTTCTTCCTATTCTGAATAAAGGAGATTTGCAAAGGAGATTTGTGGGATAAATAAATAAAGGATATTTGTGTGTCTACGCACTGCACAGAGACTAGAAAAACAGAATGGCTATGACATTTCCAATTTTATCAAAATAATAATTCTGGTAATAAAAACAAAAATATACGGTTATTAAACCATTTATTTGGCAATTTTTCCGCTCTTTTGGTAACGGTGTACCAGAACTTCTGCTTTTCCAAACTATAGTTCTTATAACCACAAAAAAAAACTGAAAAAATAAATTTACCGGAATAAATGGCTCTTATGCCATGCTCTAAGATATTATGAAAAATTATCAAATTTTACCACAGTTACCAAATTTTATGGCATATGTCATAAAACCATATTTTATTATTAATTTTAAAAAAGCATATTTTATTGTAAATTTTTCTCGAACTGCTTTGGTACGCCAAGGGATTTCGGTAAAAATTTTCGAGTTTTCCTGGTGTTCCCACAGAGCCAGAAGCACGGTAAATTTTATCATATTCTGGTATTGTTGACCATACTTTTTCTCAAAGTGGAGAAGTTAGGAAATTAATAATATTGTTGATAGAAAATTTATGATTTAGTTTTTGTAAATTTGATTAACAAATTCCGTAAATGTTTCGAAATATTGCGTACAAATTTTACTCATTAAAAAATAATGTGCGCAACATTTAAAACTCCGTTAATGTTTGAATATTGTCACTGTTGAGATTTTTGTTTATTTTATTGGTTAAACTTTTAACTGGTTGGCATTAAGCACGACTTAAAAATATTATTTTAAACAAAAAAAATTTTTTTTCAAATAGCATTAGTAGATTAGATTAGTTTAAAAAATAATTATTTTTCAAAAATAAAATAAAAATTGTCAAAATATTTAACAAGATTTTTTTAATTCAAGCAGATTAAATCTTTTCTAAGATTGTTTTGAGCATATTGTAAAGATAAATACTCTCCTAATTTTCTGGAGTCCAAAACTTTGATTTTAAAATATCAATTAAACGTAAAATTCGGTTCAATTCAATTCCATTTTTGATTCCCCGCCCACTTTTCAAGACTCTTGAAAAAAATTCTTAGCAAACATCTCCCCTCAAAGGAAGGATTTTAAAGTATAAGAATACTCACGATGGTCCCATTCCAGATAACTCCTGCTTTGCACCTCATCATGATAGGAGGGTGAAAAGGACGCAGACAGAGGGTCGCATAAATTCGAGTGATTTCTTTTGTGGGCAATTGATTTGAATTTTATCAAGCTTTTAACATGAGCGACAGATGATTCTTTTGAAAACTCTCAAATCCTGAGAGAGAAACTCATCAGATTAATTACGCATTATGGATACCATACAGAATACGTCAGAATGAGCCTTAAACGAGATGACCAAAAGCATGCTAAGTAGAACCTAATGTTGCGGCAATGGTGTGAGGACATCGAAGAGAAAATGAGATCTTGGGTTGAAGACACAAATTGTGTAGGAATTCCAAGAAAAGGGTAATAGGAGGAGCCAGAATAAAAGAAGAGGGAAAAAGAAATAATAATATTCTAAGAGCCCGTAACAAAGGAATCCCTACTTAGGAAGAGAAAGTAAGAAAGAAATAAAAAGAGTCACATCAAATTTACTACGTAGAACAGGAACGGATGTACCAGTCTCATAATAAAAATTGTTTGGTCACTGTTTTATCAATAAATACAAATAACTATTCGATAAATACTAATTAATAACAACTTTAAAGGCAGTTAATTTGCGCAAATGTATTGGTTTTTCAATGCCAAATAAAATAATAATTCTGAATTGTACTCATGTTTCAAACTTTTTCTTCTAGACATGATTTATTACACATGTTCTGGAAAATCCTAGAAATCAGAAACGACCCTTGGTGGTTATATTTCAGCATATGAAGAAATTTATGACCGTCCTTCCACAGACACCGTTCCAGGCACTGGACAACAATGTTACCAATTAAATATAACTGTCTATTTTGCTATAAATCTTAATATGTTTTGTTGATTATGGGCATCTTTTTGAAATGAAAAAATATACATGTTGGAAATTATGCACGCAGGGAAAGAAAAGAGATCTTTTTAAAGCTTAACGATTCACAAAATGTAGAAATTGGGAGATTCCAATAATAGACATATTATGATCATTTTGTATAAAAGCGTGTTGAAACAGCATCACTGATTATCCATAGAACAATAATTACCTTTTGGAGATCTGAAGACATTTGCTCTGTAGAATCAGTATCAGTTGTTATCAATTTTTTTGTACTCCTCATTTGCATTTCTCAAGTAGTTCTCAGTTTCATTTCCAGCAAAGAAGTCATAAACAGCTTGATGAGCGAAAATGTATTGCTCCTGTTAAAAAAATAAAGGATACTTTAATGTCCAGCCTTTATCCACAGAAAAAATACATTAATGACTAAATCATTTACGTGAACAGTAGAAAACAATGTTATATCTTGGACAAATTCTACCATTTAATTTTTATCTATGCAAAATGTTATTAAATAATTTGGAAATTTCGCTAGTTTGCCTGTTAATAAGTTTTTTTTTTCCATCCTGCACAACAGAATTTTTTTTTACGTCAGAAAAATCAACATGTTGTAACTTGAACCACCATATGTTGCAGCTTGCTTATACCATTAGCTATTTAAAACTTCTTGGTAAACTCTCGTTTTTATTTTCTAAACTTGTTAGTGGATTTCACGCACTGTACGACTTGCAGAGTAATACCTACTTTGTATTTAATTTTGAATAATCCAAAAAATTGAGTAAAAGAACAACTTATTTAAAATTAACACCTAATAAAGATATGATACTGAATTTAAAGGATGCAGTTAAATCTTAAAATTTTCGAAAACAAAACTTATTGGAATTCAAAAAATAAATAGTTTATTTTTGCATCCAAAAACTACAACGTTGGCGCGCTTTGGAGTATATCGAGTAAAAGTTTGCTTGAATTTGTGTTGTTTTTCTTCACGCCGCTATACAATATCTATTTAAACAAAAGTTCGCCGTTTAAGTATATATTTATACTTTTCGAAGTTTAAAAATAGTTATCATATTTTAATTTTTAAATATCCGAGAACTGTTGTAAACAATTTTATAAAGTTTAATTTCTATCCTCTTCGATTTTATTAAGCCTAGTTCGAATTCATTTTAATCTTCTCTTTGTGTTATGCTATTTACAAATTAATTTCCTTTCAAGAATTGGTGTATAAATGCATCCTAAATTAACAATTCTTGCTTTAGATTGTATCTTACTGTAATTACATGTTTTAGTGCTACATAATATTAAACTTTACACCTATAAAGTTCTCTTCTTAAATAAAAATCTAGACAAATTAGTATCTATAACCAAAATAATTAAACATCATTGACATCAATATTAGTTTTTCAACTTTTAATGTTCTTTTAAACGAATTAATACCATTTTTCGATAAGTTTTCCTTTTTAGTATTTGGCTTATTTTTTCATTTCAAACTGTAACTATTATAACAGTAGCGTTGATTTTAAATTATTTAGTTTTATAAAAACCAGTTTTAAAATCATAATTATAAGCAAAATAAGCATGTGGTTTCAGATAGCCTTAAAAATATTAATCATGTGACTTATGCCTATGCTAGCAGGATGAGGATGATGTTGATCTTTCAGATAGCCTGGCATAACGAATAAAATATAATTAAATATTGCAGAACGTACAATAATTTTTTTTTTTTTTGCTTAGAGCTATAAGCTAACAAACAACACTGGTGTTATCTTTAAAATATTTGACAAAACTATATCATCTATGTCTTATTCTAAAACAATGTCTTCCTCTGAGCCAATGATAAAATTCCATTTCTTAAATGTCTCAGAATTTAAAAATCTGAATAGAAATCGAAATTCGGGCTTCGTGAAACATAATACAAGTATGTTTTTCTCATTCAGCTTCATATTGAATTTCGCATTTCATATTAGTTATTTAATTAAATTTATGTTATGTTATGAATGTTAAGTTATTCGTTATTAATTAATTATTATTAATTTCTTATAAACATTGTGTAATGATTTTAAGAACATTTTTAGAGTAAGTGTAATTGTTATTATTTTTAATATTCATGTTATTATATATTCATTTCAACTCGTTTTTTTTCTTCCATAGTACTAAATGATTTAGAGCTAGATATGAACTCTTAGCTTTTATACTGATTTCCTAAAATTATAATTTGCTTATTAAAAATTTTATAAATTACTTATGTTTGATATTCTTATGATTTTTAACTAATAAGTTCTGAGTGGTTTTAATGTTGGTTTACATTTTTAGTTTCATTTATGCGCGTTTTAAGTTCATATCTAGCTCTAAGTTGAGTAGCGCGTTACGATACTCAACTTAGACCAGTTGACATAGATAAGTGTAGTGTTAGCTTCATCATAAATTTTTAGAACTACAGTTTTTTTTTCTTAGTTATTTTTTTAAACCTCTATAGGCTATTTTTGATTTGAATAAAAATCTATAAAATCTATTTTACCAAATAATTCTATGTTTATCACTTTTATGGTACTTTTGAAAGTATTAATGTTTTGTAATTTTTTGCATTATTTTGATTATAACTTAATGACTTTAATGTAAATATTTTTTAATTTTAGTTATTTGGTTTCATTTACACGCAATATAATTTTTCTTAATTATAGTGATTTTTCATTAANCTTTCATGGTACTTTTGAAAGAATTAATGTTTTGTAATTTTTTGCATTATTTTGATTATAACTTAATGACTTTAATGTAAATATTTTTTAATTTTAGTTATTTGGTTTCATTTACACGCAATATAATTTTTCTTAATTATAGTGATTTTTCATTAACATTTTGTAAACAAATTTCAGGAGCGTTTTCAGTTTTTTTACTGTCAGAAGGTTTCATTATCGTTTCAACTTATTTTTTATCAATATCGTCTTAATTTATTCATTCGTTAATTTGCATTTATGCTACTATTTTATTAAAAATATATTTGTGAATATTAGGACTATATTTGATTTTGTATTATTAAACAATCACAACTAAGTGTGAAAATTAAATTGTAGCATAAATCTTATAAGAATAATTTCGTAATTTCTTCTTAAGGAAGTAAATATTAGGGAAATCTGTTAATAATGAATAATAGATTTTATGAAATCATTCTAACAAAATGTATTAACAATTATTAAAAATACACACAGAAATTGAGATAAAAAGGCTCTTTTATATATTCATTTAATGAAATCGTGAGCCTTATCTCTGGTGCCCTATTATCACGGAATCTAATTCCGATCGAAATAAAGCTCTCATTACGTCATAAATCTGTGAATGTCAGTTAGGCCCTATTACGAACTCTTGATTCCGCTCGGAACTAAATTCCGGTGCGAAATAATTGCGAATCCCAGTCCGACAGGTTTAACAGTAGGCGCAATCTATATTCCGATAACAGTTTATTTATTTTAGTGATCAAAATGGCGCTGTTTTCCGTCATTACTACCGATTAAACCTATTACCGATAAAAGCAATCTGAAGAGCCCTTGTGCTGTTATTCTTAGAGTGTAAAGCAAAATTTAATAATTTTAATTTAATTTTATTTAAAATAGGGTATTTTTATAGCTTTCATAAATATAATTGTATTTCGATACTTAAATTGCTGCTAATTTTGGCTGCAATTTTAAGGCTTGAGTTAAAAAGAAGGAAGAGCTAAAAGAAGAGCTTTTCGTTATATTCAGAACTATGATACCTTATCTATTTCATAATTTTATAACCGTCGTCGAACAGCCGACCTAATTTTGTGTTCACGACTACTGATGTTCAGCTCGGTAGTCTTGTAATTTTAAATCCAACCCAGAAGACAAGGAGAGTTCTGTATCAAGTATTGAGTGAAATTTGCCTCCGCGGAGTACTTTTTGATGGAACTAACTCTTATTTCCGTTACATGGAGAGGAAAACCATGAAAACCTCCCACGGTTAGCCTGACCTTAAGGAGACTCAAGATCTTCTGAGCCACAACGGCTAGGCCTGATTAATAATAAAAAAATTATTGCTTATAAAAAAATAATTTCATTGAGATAATGATAAACATTTATTTGAAATCCTATTACTGCCGAGCAATCTGAAAAAAATTTTCGTGGTTTTTCTTTGCGTGTAACGCAAAATTTGATAATTTTAATTTCAACTTAAACAAGGTTAAAATAAATTATTTTTATGAACATTGTTTTTCGCCGATACTTAATTGATAATAATTGATTTAACAAAAAGAAAAAAAATTATCATATATCTATATATAAATATTGGGGAAAAGGAACAGAAATAATATATATATATATATAAACACAAATTAACATGAAAAACATGAATAAAATAAAAATAAAAAACTAAATGGTAGAGAAACAAGAATGGTATAAGCAAATAGTCGTTGTCAAGACACATCTAATTGCCATAAATAATGCGATATTTCTGAATAAAGAATAATTATCCTAAGATAAAAATTATTCTTTATATGTGTCGATATCGCAAAAAAC